GTTCTATAAAATAGCCTACTGGTTCAGTCAGGAGTATTAGAGGACCAAATGGTTAGGGATCATGCATGTAACTTATGGTGATTTTATATATTGTGCTTATTTTATTTGATTTAAGGCTTGTCTATAACTTGGCATGTTAATCAATAATGTAGATTATCTTAGTTACTGAGATTTTTATCTCACCTCGTGGTTATCATTTTACAGGTTCTACTACTGAGACTGAGCAAGGGAAGGAATCAGGCAAGGATTAGTAGATTTGCTACATCGAATAATACTGCCCAATTTTAGTTTGACTAGTACACATAAACTTATTATATGATATTATATATTGCCAACTAGGAATGCATATCAATTTGATTGGTTGTACTTGTTTCATACTATGTTGTTTTATATTTTAGTCCAATATTGTATATGATGTGAATATGTGGCAATTTTTATGGTGATAGGCTGAAATGCTATTATAGTGTAAGGAATGTTTTATCTACGTGGTGATAATGTATATGTAGTGTATTATGTGGCAATATAGGCCAAATAGTGCTTGTAGTGTTAATTGTGTATTCTGGCCATTTTGGGCAAAAGGGCCATTGAGTTGCCAAGTTTTGTGTTTGGTATGTTTTTGTGTGTTTGATTGGTCACTCAAGTGTATTTTGGTCCATTGGATTTGGTTCAAGCCTCATAATGGGTTAATAGTATAAGTTATGAGTTTTGGGTAGTTGGATGGTTGAAAATTTCTTTAAAAACTGACTTTTACATCCGAGTATCTAAAATTCTCATATGGTGTTGGATCATAATGAAACTTATACCCTTAGTTAGCTTATTGAATAAGCTTCATGTGGGTGCTTGAATCACTCTAATTGGACATCGGATGAGAAAATGGCGCGCGTTCGAAGTTCGTCTAAAAAAGCTATTATCACAGCATTGCTGTCATGGACACGTGCGCCACGGCGCATGTCACGCAAGCCATGGTGCATGGTACAGCAAGCAAACTTGGCTTTCTGTGCCACATGCCGCAGTGCATGGACCACGAGTCGTGGCTCATGGACCAAAACACTCAAAAATGACATTTTTAGCCTTGTTTTGAAGTGTTTTGCTTCTCAAAACTTTTCCATGCTTCCAATACCTATATAAATCAATAAGTTTGAGCTCAAACTATCAATTTGAAGGGTTTTTATGGGATCCCAAATATTTCACAATTATTTTTAAAAGATTATTAATTTTAACCCTTATATAGATAATGTGAACTTAGGAGCAATCCTTGCTCTTAATTATCATTGTTTGTTGTGATTGTGTGGTGAATTTTGGTAATATCAAGGTGGACATTGCATTTTTCAATTAGTGAATTACTTGTGTTAATATTGCATAATCTTGTGGTGTTAATGCTTGCGTTGTTGAGTAGGTTGACATAATATTGTGGTTGCTCAATTTATGTGTTTGACCATGGCTGTTGAGGGAGGATTTTGAGTGAATTACTCGGCTAATTTCTTCACCAATTACTTAATTGAACTAGGGACTTTAATCTAAGACCTAGAGAGGTTAGCTAATTAGGTTAATTAGCTTAGGATAATTTTTTTAAGTCTTGACAGCTTTAGTCAAGAGGAAAAGAAAGCTAAACTTAGCCTAATCATGAGAAGATAATGAGTCTAAAATCAACTAATCTCTAGGGTTCCACTCTTGTGAAAAGGAAAGTGCATTTCACTCACTTTATTTAGCATTTTAATCATTAGGTAATTAGTTTAGACAATTAGATAATTAAATTCCTACAACTTTAGGTGATTTATTCCACTAGATAACTTTTAATTATACTAAGGCCATTCCTTGGGAGATAACCTAGGGTTGACCCTATATTGCATTAGGGTGACCTTTAGTTTAATTTTAAGGATAAGTGACTAATTTCCTATCAGCATCCCATTCTTTCATATTTATATGTTGCTATGATTATAGTTTGCAAAATGATATTGTGTACTTATTTAAATTGAAAAATTAGGATCCTATCGTTATGCAAATATTACAAATTTGATAACCTAATTGGACTAGTATAATGATTGCCTTGGGTTTCATGTTAATTGTGGATTAGTAAGGGTGATCCTACACATCACACCTTCTCGGCTCGAAGGGTGGCTAGTCTTCCTAGGACCTTGGCTAGCTCTAACTCCAAGCTCTTTTCTTAGCTTCCTCTAACTCCTTGCAAACCATTGTTAACTTTTGTTTCATATCTACCTTCATCGTTCTTAACACTTAAATATGCTTGGCCTCAATTGTTAGGCCCTTGGCCTAGCTTCCTAGGGTTCCCATTTCCTTAAACACCTCCAGAGGGGCTAGCTGGACTCCTTATTTAGTCTTGATATTGGCCATTAGGTCAAGCAATGCCCTAATATGAGTGCAAATTTGGCAGAAGGCGTGTGAAAGTTGGGTATAAAGCATTTTGATTATTGATAATGGTCTCTTTAAGTAAAGGGTGTTTAAGTCCTTGAAGATGTCCTCAAAATGAGGCTCCGAGAGAAACATTAGGTCTTTTTTGAGATAATACTCAATGGTGTCCTAAACTCAAGACTCAGGCCCCATATAGTACTTGCTTGAGGAATGAGGAGAAGGAGGTTGAGCCTATAGAAAACAAGATTGAGAGTTAGACAAAGTAGAATAGAGAAGGAGTCAAGTACTAAAGTAAAAAGCTCACCTCTAAAATTATAAGACCCTTGCCTATGTTTGTAGATCCCTTAGGTCCCAGTGCAAGAATTATATTGACCTTAACCAGCAGCAAAAGATGTTATGAGACCATGACATCTAGTGGAAGGATTGAGGCCATGGCTCAAGCTCTTGAGTAGCTAGAGTTGTTTTAGGACCCATAGGCGATGTGGCCCCTACATTCCTAAATGGAGTAGTGGTAAAAGTAGCAAGAAGGGCAGGAGCTTATAGATTTCCCCTTAAGAAGGTCAACAGGTGAGGAACCTGCACCTAATCTCGCTCTAACAAAATAAAACATTAGTCAGGAATGTCTCTATAGGTAAAACAATAAAGTAGAGGTTAAAGAAACTCACCAATATGATACACTTAAAATGATGAGGTCACCATTTATTTAAGTGAAGGTAAGCATCTCTAGTTACTAGCTCTACCTTGCATTGTAGCTTGACATTGTGAGGGAGAGTCAGGGTAGGGATGTCATCCTTCTCCAATAACTCTAGCCCAAACCACTAGGTCAAACCAAAAGGGATGCATTAGCTACGCTTGAATTGACTAGCCACCATTTAAGGATGATAATACTCAAGAAAGGCCTTGTTAAAGGAAGCAGTTAAGGGTAGCCACATCTTCGGTGGTGGTCAAAATAAAAATGTTGTCTCACAACTTGGTTTGAGACTTACGCTCCACCTAAAACTTAAACCAATAGGGGAGATAGCGGTCTAGAAAGATAGCACCTTCAATGGCTAGACTAAAAACCAACTTTGCAGATAAAAAAATTTGAAGTAAGAAGGTTGCTACAATAGAGCGTGGGTAGCCAAGAACAAGATGAAGGGGTTTTCACTAAGCCACCAACATCTTTCTTGTTATATTTGTCCCAATTTTAATATAAATATACTCAAAATATCTTATCATAAATTTAACTTAAAGTTTTGGATCAATACACTTTGCATTATGGTGAATTGAGGTAAGGAAATCTTGGACCCTTTATTCATCTTTAAGATTCCACTTTTCTATCACACTTGGTATTTTGTTATTCAAATATAACAATCTATTTGTGATGAACAAGGGGGATCAAGGGGAGGCATAGACAATATGCTGCATTTTTCTAAAGTTCATGAAGTTCATTTAAGTCATGAGTAAAGATATTTCCTTTCCTTCTTTGTGTTGGATTTTAATATCCATTGAAGAAATAAGCACCATATCTTTTCAGTTCAATGTGTTCAACTAGAATTTATTTTTTTATGTTTTACATTACATTTTCCTTCTTTTCATGTTAATTCTGTAAACAAAATCCATGTTTCATATTCACTAGCTATTTTTTAATAAAATAATCAATATATTAAACGATTAAAAGCTAAAAAAAATTATCATAGAATAGGTTGAAGAACAACATCAGAATGAAAATACATAAACTTAGAAATATAAAATGAATATGAGATAAATTGAGATAATTAAAAAACTAATACTCAACAGTCATTTGTATGATTTATAAAACTTGCATGGGATTTATTCTGTCTATAATTCTCATAACATGAGTAAAATAAGAGATTTTATTTTTCCCCTTCAAATAGTTACTTTTTTTGGGAAAATTATAAAGAAATCTTCCGAAATTATACAAATGATAATATAATTTCTTGAAATGCTATAATTTCACTGAATTTCTTAGGGACTTATGTGCCAATAAATTTTAAATTGAAAATATCATTTTACTCTTATTGACAAGTTGTGATTTCTTATTTAATTATTGCTATTCTTTGAATAAAATTTATAATTCTTTAAATAAAAATTATACTTGGGTCTTGTTATTTTGAAAACTTGTTTTTCAATAACAGAAATTACACTTGATAAATTATGATTTCTTGTCCAACTCTTAAGATTCACAGAATAAAAGTTATTATTTCTTAAACAAAAGCTATGGTTGAAGTTTGTTTTTCAATAATAAAAATTATATTTGATAAATTATAATTTCTTATTTAATTATTATAATTCACATAATAAAAATTATTATTCTTTAAATAAAAGTTATGATTTAAATTTATTTTTTTAATAAAAATAAAATAATTTTTTCACTTTAAAATTTATTGATAAATAAATTTTTAAATTATAATATTTTTAAAAATTAAATTATATTTATGTAATTCATGAGATTTTGTTATTATTTTTTTAAAAATTAAGTCAAATCATCAAATTTTATATTAAAACAAATTGGAGATGTTACCGCCTTTTCCATTCGGTGGCGGGAGGCCTGCTGTAAATAGTAAATTTTATTATGTGAAAGGACCAATTTGCCCTTATTAGGTCAGGCGCATTATAAGGACCAGAATCCCACTTTCCCATTTCATTCGCGGCGGAGGAAAAGTATCGTTGTTGTCGATCCCACAGGTACGCACTAACATTAGTCGCTACCCTCTCTGCCTCTTCCTGGTCGAAATTTTCTTTTTTGTTTCGAAATTTATACATGATTATGCTGCTGTTAGGAAAATGGAGCGTTGTATTCGTCGAGGCTTTGATGGAAAAGATCCGAGAGGGAACGAAAGTGATGGTGACGGGAAGATTCAGTACATTTCAAGGGGGCTTGCTTCTGGCAGCAGCAGTGGTGCACTTGTAAAGAAGTGTAATCCCAGTCTTTCCAGAAGTGAGGAAAAGAAGGAAGCCTGCAAAAGGAGGAAGAGGACTCCTGACATTGACAACAATTGGAAGTCTCCGAGTGATGAGCACATTTCGAATGGGGTTATTCCTGTAGACCCGAATCTCTTCGCAGAATATGCATACACGTTAGCCTCTCTTCTCCGTCGACACCTATATTTTTCATTAAATATTATTATTCTCTGATCTTGCTCTTCCATATGTAGGGGTCCAAGCTATAAATGGAGATCTTCTCTTAGTGGAGGGGCTAAATATCTACACTGTTCAGAGGAGATTTCAAATGGGGTTGCTACCAGCAGCATTGTATCCAAGCTAGACTCTAACCCTGTGCGCAAGAAGGCGACAACGAGAAAAGGGAAATCTAGGGATGTCCTTACCGCAGCCGAGAAAAAGAAAGAGTGTTATAAAAGGAGAACTTCAGACAACACTTGGAAGCCTCCACGCTCTGTCCATCGTTTACTCCAAGAGGAGTATGCTCATGATCCTTGGAAAGTATTAGTTATATGTGTCTTTCTAAATTGCACTACTGGAGGACAGGTATATTTTTCTTAATCTCCTTGTATCTTTCAATTTCCTACAAGAAATTTTTTTTTTGGTTTGTATTGTTTCCTAGAATCTTAACAAGGTCTTCATATAATATGATTTTGTAAGATAGTTTTTTGAGGCAATATATGAAACATTTTAATTTCAATTTAATGAAATGGATCTAATGTTTGTGCTATAATAACTTGTGAGAGTTTTGAAATGCAGGTGAAAAAGGTGCTTTCAAGGTTTTTTGATTTATGTCCAGATGCTGAAACATGTATTCAAGTTCCACCATGGAAGATAGAAAACATAATCTCAAGTCTAGGTATTTTGAGAAGAGTTAAGACTTTGCAACGTCTCTCATCAGAGTATTTGAATGATAGCTGGACTCATGTCCCACAGCTGCATGGTGTTGGCAAGTAAGTTAGATTATACGTTATTGTTTTCTGGCTGATTTCTATATATATTTAGTCACTTTTATCTAGCTGATGCTATCTTGATTGACTGTGATTCTATTTCAATCAGGTATGCAGCTGATGCATATGCAATATTTTGTACTGGAGGATGGAGGGAGGTGACACCTAAAGATCACAAGCTAGTTGATTACTGGCGGTTTCTTCATTCCATCTACAATTGAGAAGTGCTTGCTTTTTTTGGAAGTTACCTGTAGTTATTTTGAGGTATGAAACTTTAAGAAAAATTAGTATTAACATACCAAGGTTTTTAGTTTTAGGTCTCCCAACTTATTGATCTTAATGTCTAATGTCAAGTTGGATGAGCTGAAGTTGTTATTGCAAATTACTGCAAGTGTTTTGATTAATTCTTACTTCAGTGAACTACTTGTTTGGACAAGCATTTCGCAGCATGCATGCATGATTGTCTTTTGAAGAAAGCTCAATTTATACCCACAACTAGGGATAAAATGAATAGTGAATTTGAGTGAAGACTCAAGTAGATTATGGTATGTTTCCTGATAGTTGTTTTAGGTTGATTACAAATTTTAAGTGTTTACTCCCTCTCAAATTTGCAAATCTTCCATGTGCAAGTAAGATGATAGAGCTGAAGCGAAGTACAACTATTGTGTACCAACAAGCACCCATTTCTAGGGACTGTCTTTCTTGCAGACCATATCCTCTACATATCCATGTGTGTTTGTCCCTCTATAAATTGAGGGAAGAACTGATGTTTCAAATCTTGAATTAAATATATTAGGGTTTTAGTTTGATTGTAGACTTCTTAAAATAGTAGGGATCCCTTTTTCTGGTTTCAAGCATTGATTTGGATGTAGACCTTAATGTTTGTCTTTGGAGAAGAGAATCACAGTTTGTCATTATTTCTTTTTTGCTCAATTTCCCCTTTGCATTGAGTTTTACATTATTATAATCCATGTTAGATAACTATGGGTGGATGTTACCTTTAATGCAATGAAGGTTGCATTGTAGTGACAAGATTACTCATCGCTCTAACAGTTCATTATCATGCAAAGTGTTACAGGTTGCCATGTCTGCTTTTCAAGCTAAAGTTGTTGGCTCAGATCCTTTTGAATTTGGGGTGGTCTGACAAATCAAAGTAGGAAGTTGAAAGCTCTTAAACCTTTTTGTTCATGTATAGTTGACTTTTCAGGTGACAGCTCCTTTTGTAGTTCAAGCTCATTGCCTGTGCACTTGGAGCATGATTTCTTTATCTTAAATTAAGTGCTAGCTGTCAAATGGACCTTTGTAACTATCTACCTACCAAATTACTGAGTTAAGTATTTAGATTATACTTGGTTGTCCAAGAAAGTATCACTTACTTTGTTTTTGTTTTTCCGCTAAATTATTTTTTATAACCTATATTGACAAAAGAGGAATTGCACTCCATGATGATATTAGCCATGTAGGAGTCCATGTCCATGAATCATGAATATGGAGCCGAAGGCCCTGCTAAATTGATGCTTGATTTTATTTAATGCTTATTTAAATAATGAAGATAATGCAACGTTGCAATAAGATTTGGTAACAAGGATGGATCATCGTGATTAAGCTCTCTTATCTATTATTTTCAGAACCATCGTTTTCATTTTAATTTATTGTGTAAAATTGGACCCTATCATCAAATCGTAATTAAGATTTCTCTCCTTTTTAATTGATTAAATGTTTTATATATTTAAAGTGTCTTCTAATTACAAAAAAGGAATTCTCTCCCGTTGGAGTTTTGAGCATGACTTTACGTCCGTATTCTCATGAATGTGGTTTTGCAGTGGATGTAAACCTTTTTTCCCCTCATGGAGCAAATCATAATTGTGAAAATTGAACAAAATACCGCATGTTATAGTCCTCTTTATTGTCAATTTTCATTCAAAAATAAAATATTAGACCCTTGAGAGAGAGGTTTGCTTAGAGTGGTGCTTTTTCAATGACTTTACTAGCTTTATGTTTATTACTTAAGAATAAATATTTAACAATTTGAGCTATTCATATATATGTATATATATTAATTCAAAACTTTAAGTAGAATATATAACTAAAGTTACAAAAAATATAAGAGTTTAAGGGTTAGTTTGAGTTTAAGCTAGTTTTAGCAAGGTTTATAAGGGTAGGGTTTAAAAGTCTTTTTATATCAAAATTCCTCAGTTTTTTTCAAACTTGGCCTAAAAGGATAGTTTGTTAGGCCCGGTTCTTATTCACATTTCTACAATTAATGTTAATTTTAGAGCATATTTTTCCTAGCAAAAGCAATTACCTTTAATAATTAATATGTACAAGTTCAGCTAAGTATTGGGATAGAGACCAAGAAATTTAATGAATTATTTTATCCAATTGTCATGATTGTCTTGTATAAGACCATCACAAGTTACTTGCTATGGGGCTTAAACTTTGTACAACTTTAAGGAGCTTTGTAGATCCCTCATCAAGCATGTTCACAATAGAGATCTCGGATCTTTTGGACTTGCATCCCTGCAAGCAATTCTAGTTTGGATCCTTATATTTGTGAGCAAGCTAGAACCAATGCATGGATTGAGTAGTTTGTTGATTGAAGTTCATTGAGGAAACTATAGTCTAGTTGACTGCAAGATGGATTGCTACGTTCAAGATGGAGTACATTTTCTCAAGCAATTTAGCTTCGTCCGAATAGTGAAACTTCACCATCAATGGCCAATAGATTAATTTTTGTCGTAATTTTTCATTTTTAAATATCTAGCTATTAGACACTATGCACTAGCAAATATTGCTATTGATGATTCATTTTCACTTGGTTTTCCTGGTAAAATATGATACAAGTGCAAAGAAAGTGTTTAGGTTGCATTTGGATGAGTAGGGTTGAGAGTTTGGATTTAAATGTCATATTTGAAATTTCACATTTAAATTTCATATATTTTAAATTCTTTGTTTGGATGATATAAAAAAATTTAAATTATAATATTAAAATTACTTGTTTGAATCTTAAATAAAATTTTAAATTTCAAATTCTATGTTTGAATATAAAGACAACTTGGATGACATATGCAGTTTGGTCCCAATCAAGGGTGGCGGCATAGTCTCGGTCGACACTAATTGTTCGAACCCAAATGATGTTAGTGGTCCAGTCTTGATTAGCAGCTACAGTCTAGTTTCAATTGACATTGGTAGTCAGATCTGGTCAAAGTTGATGGTTCGATCTTGATCAGTAGTGGTAGTTCGATCTTGATCAATGCTGATGGTTCAGTCCTGAATGCATCAATGGACCAATCCTAATAAGTGATGGTGGTCTTGTCCTAGTTGATGCTTGCGGTTTGGTCTTGGTTGACATTGGTAATTCGATCCTAGTTGGCAGTAGTGGTTTGGCACCGAATGATCATAGTGTTAGCAAACTAGCATCAAGTGGTAATGGAGGGTGATTGAAAGTAAATTGAAATTTGAAATTCCTAGTGTGTAGAAGGGATTTGGAATTACAAAGAAATTATATTCAAGTATGGATTTAGATTTAGACAAATTCAAATCCATAAATTCCCATGGATTCAAACAATAAAATTGGCTTAAATCCCAATCTAAATCCAAATCTAAGTCCATGTGCTTCCAAACATGACATTAATGTATGCCAATCATCTCGCTTTTACAAAGTAGTGAACAAAGTGTGATACGACATTGAAGGTGGAAGAATGAAGCATGCGGAAGACTGAACAATATTTCAAATGAAGTGCAATATCAAGAAATGCAATGAAAGTGTTCAATCAAGCTTATGAATTATAGTTGCTTGGAAAGGCCTTCTTTGTTTTCTATCGTAATCAATGTTCTACAAGAAAATTTTTAGACTTCTATTCTAGGTTCTACAGCCACTTATAAATTAATATGGATTCAAGAAGACATTTTACTATTTTTTGGGAAACCTTGTGACTGTATATATTGTTGGGCTTTTTTAATAAAAGATGATTTATAATTTTGAACACGCACATATTCAAATTTGTTTGAATAATGTGAATTATTCCATGTCATAATGTGTATAATATGTTGGATCTTACTTTTGAAAATAATCAATATGTTTGCACATTCTTCTCAACTTTTCTTCATTTCACTTTAATCTCTACACGTCATAAATTATTTTAAATTATTAGTACTTTGATCTTTATACTTTTATTTTAGCCTTTATGGATATTTTTAAGTTCTTTTGAATTATTTTTATTTATTCAATAAATAAGTTTTGGATGTTACAAAATATATATAAAAGGAGTACTGATTTTTTTCCCAGCAATGGAATTTTTCAAAAAAACGTGGTAGAATGTTTGAAGGGTTAAAACCCATTTTTGCTCTTAAACTGTATTTTCAAATACACCTAGTGTCTTAAACCTGATTTTGGTGCATTCATGACCTTAAAGTAAAAAAAAAAAACTAGACCAACCTTATCATTACAGTTAAATTAGAGTTAATGCTCATTAATAAGTATTGTGGGTCTCATGTAACACCCTACTTTTATAAACTGATTTATTTAACTCTATCATTATAACTAAATGTCTACTGCAACACTCTAAAAATTTATGCCAAATTTTCACAAAAATCTCTAGTTTCACAACAATTTTTCGAAGCATAACCATAGTAAATAAATGTTTACTATGGTAGAAAAGACTTTAGTTATTATTTAAAAATTTTTAGATATGGCAACACTCCTAAGAGGGGGTGAATTGAGTGTTTAAGGAATTTTTGGTTGTTTCAAAGCTTTTTTAGTAACATTGTGTGTAAGGGAAAGTTTAAGCAAATTCATGCACTACACTCTTATTGCAAGAAAGATAAATTAATTTCCACAAGCTCAATATGAGTAAAATCAATTTTTAAGTGAAAGTGAGAGCAAGAGTATGTAGATAGATCAAATTCAATTTTATACACTAAAATATAGCATTAACTAAGGTTGTTGGAAATATAACGAGTTAAGAGAAGAAAGAGTGCAAACAATGAGTTATCTTGGTTCGACTTTACCACTTGAGTTACATCCAGTCCCCAAGCAATCATTGGAGATTTCTCTACTATAACACAAGCTTAAGTGGTACTTACCATTATAGTACAACCACAAGTTTAGTTTGGATACTTGTGAGTCTTTATAGCAACTCACTTTACTAGTGAGCTTATTTTCTCAAAAGAACAACCTCTCTTGATTACAAGGGAGTCTCTCTCTCACCTTTATAAGGATTTTGAATATGTAAATCACTTAGTTGAAACTCTCTCTAAGAGTAATGATGTGTATAATGAAGCTCTAATACTTAAATAATAAGATATAGATGATATTGGCTCAAGAACAATGACTTTTGTATACTAAGAGTAATATGAACATGAATTTCATAGCTTGATGATTTTTAAACTTAATCTCTTTTTTTAAGATAAGTTTTGAGTGTTGTATTTATAGAAAATGGAGTAAAATAGATGTTAGAGATATAAAATGACCGTTTATAGTCATTGCAAAGTGATTATAGCTGCTGGTGATGTTTCACGTGTAGAACAAAACTCATTCACTTGTGAAATGGTAATTTCACATGCATAGGTGATAAATCTCATTTGAAACACGACAAATTGTGCTTGAAATATCATGTAATATTACACAGGTGACAAATCTCACTTGAAATGTGACAAATCACGCTTGAAATGTCATGTGATATTGCACAAGTGACAAATCACGCGTGGACAAAAAGTGATTCACTCTTGAATTGGACCACATAAGCTACTGAGTGAAAATAAGGCTTTTGGATGCTGATTCTCACATGAATGCAATGAGGATTCATGCTTGAATTGGACATTGAAGCTTTGTAAAGATGTTTCAAGTGTGTGTCTCATTTTCATTCATGCATGTTTCGGAGGGCTTTACAGCATATAAATTCATAAGGCTATAACTCACTCAATATAACTCCAAATCTAACAAATTATGTATAATTGGAAAGCTTGAAGTCTAATTTTCAATAAAATAAGTTTCATACTTAAATTCAATGTAAATTTTGAGATATGATCAAAAGAGTGGATGAAGGTCAACTCTAAATACTATGCAAAATCAATATTTCAACACTCAACTTTTAAAATTCATATATTTATAATAGAACTCCAATTTGAATGAATAAACTATTATTGAAAAGATGATGGAGTTTATTTTTAAATGATATATGTTTCATATTAAAATAATATGTGTAGTGAGAGATGTTACTAAAAACATGACAAAGGTTAAATCTAATTTTTTGCCCAATTCCCATCTTGAAGTTTAGATTTCAAGTGTTTATAACTTTTTCAGTTTAACTCCATTTTGAGTAAACAAAATGACTTTAAAAACTTT